GGCGTGCAGCCCGCGGTGGCCAGCAAGCACTCGCTGCTGGACCTGCGGCTCTACCTGGAGACGCCCTGGCCCGACGCCGACAAGCCGCTGCACAAGCCGGCGCGCAACGAGATGCTGCTCTTCTTCAAGCACTACGACCCGGAGACAGAGCAGCTGCGCTACGTGGGCCACCTCTTTGCGCCCAAGGCGGCGCGCATGCGGGACCTGTTCCCCATGCTGCGCGCCATGGCGGGGCTGCCGCCCGACGCCCCGCTGCAGTGCTACGAGGAGATCAAGTGGGAGCCCTCTATCATGGTGGACGCCATCAGCGCCGCGGCCCTGCTGTACTCCAATGCGCAGCTGGAGACGGGTGACATCATCGCCTTCCAGGTCGCGCAGCAGGGCGATGGCGACGGCAGCGAGGCCGAGGGCGAGGGCGGTGCGTCGCGCTACCGCTTCCCCATCGTGAAGGACTTCCTCAGCTGGGTCTGCAACCGTATGCTGGTGGGTGGGCGACCAGGGTTGCACGGTGCTCCATAGGCGGCTGCTGGGAGTTTGCGTGTTTCTGGGGAGCGGGGCGGGCAGGTTGGTAGCGCTTTGTTGAATTGCCTGGCATGTGCGTAGAGGCCGCTGCTGCGGCATGTGGGCAGGGGCCGCTGACGCCAGGTGCTCACGGTCCTCAGGGCATCATGCCAAGCTGTCACCCAGGCTTGCCTAGGGAGGTGTCATCAGGGCCGTGCCAGTTGCATCAGGCAGTACTCCATCGCCACCCCCCCGGCCTGCACCCCTGGGCACCCCCCCCCCCCTTGCGAGCGAACACCACACACCCACTCATCCCCCTCTGCTCCAGGTGAAGTTCAAGCGCCTTGACGCGTGGTCCCAGGAGGGCGAGGGCTTCACCCTGGAGCTGCTGAAGGGCATGGGCTACGATGACGTCACGGCGGAGCTGGCGCGGCACCTGGGCCTGGCCTCACCAGACCTCCTGCGCCTCACACAGCAGAACGGCTTCTCGCAGCAGCCCATGCGCTCCGCGGTGCGCTACCGCGCCGTCAGCGACCTGGCGCGCCTGCTGTCTCACAGCAACCACCCCACGGACACGCTGTACTACGAGGTGCTGGACCTGCCCCTGCCGCAGCTGGAGGCCCTCAAGACCCTCAAGGTGAGGCGGGGCGCGCGGGGTTTCACGGGGCTGGGGGGTGCTGGCAGGTCGGCTGGCAGGGCGAGAGGGGTTTCAATGAGGCGCTTGGGCGCGGGTGTGTGGGCGCGTTTGCATGTATGTATGTGCAGGGCGGGCGGGGAGGCTGCCATTTAAAGCACGTGTGTGTGTGTGTGTGTGTGTGTGTGTGCATATGTATGCATACATGGCAGTGTTCTTTGAGCTCTGCACAATTGCGATCCAATGGTGTTTCTCAGTGGGTCTGAAAACATGCTTTTGAATGGATGCGCGCGAGAGGATTGGGCATGGCTTCACTCTGCGATGCAGAGGTCTGTTCAGCTGCCATGTGACGTCCCTCCCCTTCCCTGCAGCCTGTCTGCCCTTGATCCCTCTGCCCCTGCCCTCCAACCCCAACAACGCAGGTCAATTTCCATGACGAGCGCACAGCGCTCGTGGGCGAGCCCCACACCATCCGCGTGGCGCGCGACGCCGTGGTGGGGGACGTCCTGGAGGAGCTGCGCAAGCGGCTGCCGCCGGAGCATGCTGGCAAGCGGCTGCGGCTGCTGGAGCTGCTCCACTCCAAAATCTTCAAGGTGTGCGACATGACGGAGGAGGTGGGCGGCGTCAACGCGGAGTACTGGACCCTGCGCGCAGAGCCGGTGCCGCAGGACGAGCTGGAGCAGGAGCAGGAGCAGGAGCAGGAGGGGCAGGCAGACGCGGGCGGCGGCGGCGGCGGCGGCGGCGGTGGAGTTGGCGAGGGTGGCCCCCTGCTGATCCACGTGTACCACGTTGCACCGGACCGCCAGGAGCAGCAGCACTCAACTGCAGGGAGCGGCGGAGGCGGCGCCATCAGCGGGGCGGGCGGCGGCAAGGGCGGCAGCAAGCAGCAGCTGCAGCAGCAGCAGCAGCCACATCAGCCGCAGCAGCAGCAGCTACAACAGCAGGACACGGAGCAGCAGGCGCCGCAGCAGCAGCGGGAGGAGCCCGCAGGGCAGCAGCAGCAGGCGGTGGTGCCGGTGCTCCCCTTTGGCGAGCCCTTCCTGCTGCGCATCGGCCGCGCCGAGACCCTGGACTCTATAAAGACGCGCATCCGCACGCGGCTGGGTGTGGAGGCTGCGGCGTTTGCCAAGTGGCGCTTCTGCTTCGTGCCCGGCGGCAACCGCTCCCTGCCCGAGTACCTGGCGGACGGTGATGTCCCTGCCGAGCGCTTCGCCACGCCCACGGCTGGCCACGCCCTGGGCGCTGACCTGCCCTTCCTGGGCTGCGAGCACGAGGACAAGGGCTCCAAGCGACCCACGGGGCACCGGGCAGCATATGGGTTTGAGCGCCCCGTCAAAATTAACAGCTGACGACCCTGCCGCCCCGCTGTTCCGCCCCTGCGGCGCAGCTCGCGCGCGGGCGGCGGCAGCCGGGGCTTGGGGCCTGGCAGCGGGGGAGTGAGCGTCAGCCAGCGTTGACTGGGGCTGTAACATCGCAGTACCTGGCCCTGCGCGTCGTGCTGGTTGTGGCCCTGTCTGTCTGGCACGGGCACGCGCTGAGAGCACGCGCTGAGAGACGCGCGCGCCGGAGGCCCATGATTGCTGTGCCTGTGTGCCTTCTCGCATTCCGCCACGATTGCAGCTTTCTGTAACATTGCAAGTACATCTGGCAAGGGCTCATATACAGTCGGTGTGGGGGGTAAAGACACTGTGTTGTGCGCTCACATCACCAGCCATTTCCAGAGATGTTTGGGGGGGGGGGGGTAAAGACATTGTGTTGTCCGCTGATGTCACCAGCCGCTTCCAAAACAAACAGCAGAGTTGCGGCAGTGACATCAGGGTCCATTGGATTTGCTCTGGCAAGACGTGCAGCTGCATGTCCAGTGACCCCACCCACAACACCCATGCAGACGAGACTGCTCTTGTGGACACCAATCGTACTGAAACTGCAAAAGGTTACTTGAATATTGCATGGACAGTGAGTGTGAATACCCCTCACGCAAAACACTTGGCACGAACAACTTTTTGATTGTTCACAATGCTGTGTTGCAGCGCACAGTGGTGCACATGCTCAGACGTGTTACGACACGATCACTAATGGCCCGCGCCGCCGCCTGTTGTAGAGAGGGTGATGGCAAAGACGAGGCAGCTGATAAAGATCAAGGCGATGGCGGCCCACCATGACTTTGCCGAGTGCAGGACCAGCGGCCCCGCGGTGCGCAGGCCCGCCTTTTTGGGGATGAGAGCCCGCGCCGCCTCTGCGCCACTGTCCTCGTCCTCCGCTGCGGCCAAATCTGGGTACGACTCTGTGGCCTTGATGACGGCAGCGTTCCTGCGGGATCAGGGTGGGGCCCGTGGCGTTCGGCGTGCAGTCGGCAGTTTTGGGTCGCAAATGATGTTTGTTATGCTTTCCGGGGGTGCAGATGAGGATGCACCAGGCACGGGGGAACACGCTGCAAACAGCATGCGCTTTATTACTCACCAGCACAGCAGGCCAGGCAGCAGAAAAATCATGAAGGTGGCGGCAGTTCCGCCAATGAGGTGCAGGACAGAACCCAGGTTGGTGACCTGGAACGAGGGGCAGAAGACGGGAACAGCGATTAACGGGCGGCAGCAGGGAAAAATGGGTGCGCGTGCAACACGCAGGCTCTAGGTGCCGCCAACGAAAGGCGCACGATACCCAGTCACCTACCACCATGGCAGTGGCGAGCGTCGCGCCCACAAACAGCACCGTGAACGCGGCCATGGCCAGCGGGGGGATGATGTTGACGTCGAAGAACGTGGCCATGAGGTCGCGCATGGCCAGGCGCGCGGGATTGAAATTCAAGGGATAGTGGCCGAGAACCATCAGCCCTATCACACCGCGCGCAACCTGTTGAGTCGAGTGGATTTGTGGAGGGATGAAGGGATTCAAGGTGATGTTGCGTGCGCCAGATGAGCGTTGGAGGGCGGGTGCCATATGCTTGAGAAGGGACAGCATGGTGGGGCTGTGCAGGATGATTACTATAAGGGAAAAGATCAGCAGCAGGCATGCGTAAAATTGTGTGAAAATCACGTCTCGGAGGGTATGGGCAGTGGCGTGACCAGGGTCGGCGCTGAGAATTGGTGCTCCATGCGGCTCCACCCGTCAGCCAAGGTGCACCGCTGCCCGTGCCTACAGGATCCCACCTGCATGGCCGTGTCATTGGCCGGGAATGTGTTGAGAATGTTGGAGCTGACGGTGGTTGGGTAGGCGGCGTACCCAGCAACACCCACAGCCACGTATCCGGCCGCGATGAGACTCATGGCCACGATGATGACGCCCAGCTGGGGTGAGTGTGGGTAGTAGGGTGGGCAGATCTCAGTCAATGGATTAAGGTTGCCTCACCCACGATGCCGCAGTGCCACAGTTGCTGTAGCTGAACGGCAAGTACCGCTTGTAGACGCGCCAGCCTCACGATATACCCAACCACCCGAAAGCTGCTGGCCGGGGAACAAAAGGGGAGGCAGTGGTGTCTGACCATGCCTATGAGCTTGTAAGTGTAGGGCCGTGGTGCCAGGCGGTGCAGTGACGCGTACTGCGTGGGGCTTGGGGGCAGCAGCACGACCAACCGGTGTGGGTAGTGGTCCAGCTGCAGGTGAGTTGGTGGGTGGGGTGTGCAGGGAGTTTCTGTCAGGACACGCTGCGGTTGTGTGTGTGCGTGTTTGTGTGTGCGCGAATGTGTGTGTTTGTGAGTGTGTGTGTGTGTGTGTTGTGTGTGTGTGTTGTGTGTGTGCATCGCGCGTGTGCGCGCTTGCACACACACTACAATGTGCCTGAGCACGCGTGCATAAGTGCGCGCGTGCCGTTGCTGCCTTGGCGCGCATGAGCAAACATGCGCTTCGTACAGTGCCAAATTTGTTACCACGAGCGCTTGCTGCTCCCAACCGTTTCCCTTTGGCCTCCACCTCTGAAAATATGGACACTGTGTTGGCGCTGCTGTTGAAGCCGAACACCAGGATGCTGACGGCGTACAGCGCCTCACGCAGGTTGGGCTGCCACAGGATGACGCCCGCCCAGGGGTCTGCGCGAGACAGCACCACCTGCAACACCAACGCCGCACGGGGCAGTTGAGAGGTGAGGAGAGGGGCAAGCAAAGCCAGTGCAAGGATTTAACACAACAGTCAGGAGTGGTGATTGCCCGGCCCGCACCGGGGCGCATGCCCTTGCCCGCTTCTTGCAGATGAGCACGGCATCCTCGAGGCGGCATGGCCCCACCCCTTAGCCAAGCCTTTTAACCTGAGAACCACGCCACACGATGGCCGCACTGGTGTAAAGGAACCCAATCACCGCCCCAGCGCTGACCCACTCTGCAGGGGGGCATGAGCGATGGAATGGCAGATGTGCATTTGCAGTCAGAAAAACCACCCAGCAATTGACTGCCATTGCACGTGCATTTTGCACATGGCACCTGTGGTGGAAATGGTTGTGCTGCTCCTGGCGCTCTCCGTTATCAAGGGGCCGGGGCCGCGCGAGCCGCATCCGCCGAGAACCGCAGTTGCCAGGCGCTGGACTTGGAAGCCGCCCCCAATTTGTCACCACTGTTGCGAGCTCTCACCCAGCGCAGAGAGTGAGGGTGCAAAGCACATGGGCAGGATGAGCACCACGCCAACAGCAAGCAAGATGAAGCGGCGGTCAGTGTAGAGGCTAGCTCCGAATGCCTGGGTGGCCAGGGAGCTGAATGTGTCCCCAATTATCACCTGTAATTGAACGAGGAGGATGAGAAAGAGCAGGAGGAGGGCTTGGTCACGGGGTAGGGAAGGGCGCGGGGTGATGGTAAACAGGAGTTTGGCGCTGCATCAACGCCAGCATAAGGCACCGCCTGCTGCAGAAGACTGTGCTCAAGCGACACCCCCTGCCACATGCTTGACCAATGGCCGTTTCACGCACCAAATAAGCGACACACGAGCCGATGAGGTAGAGCAGTGTGATCAGTGACAGCACTGACGACAGCTTGCGGCCCAAAGCACGGCGTACCAGGCTGCCGTAGCTGTGGGCGTCATACCGCTCAGCAAACTGACCAGGAATGTCGGCATGAAGCGGCCAGGGATGGCGGGCATAATGACGATGGCGGCAGCGTGACAATGTCAGGTGCGTTTGTGTGTGTGTGTGTGTGTGTGTGTGTTGCATGTGTGTATTTTGCACACATGTATGTGTCTGTGTATGTGCATATGCTACAGGTGTGTGCGAATGTCCACACATCAGAGCGTTGAGGTGTCTTCAAAATGCACATCAAATACGCACACGTGCGAGCCCTTACAGCTGCTGTTGCGATGGCACGGGTCGGCCCACCTTTGAGAGTATGTAGAGAGAGAATGACTCCGCCGCCGCCACCACCATGCACAAGACCAGCCCGCCCACCAGGCCCGCGCAGCTGAATGCATAGGGGAGAGACAACACCCCGGCGCCGATTGCCGAGTTGCAGAGCGTGGCCACACTGGACAGCGAGGATGCGCCGCCCGTGTCCTGCAACAAGCGATGACAAAGTTCAACCCAAGCTGCGTGTCAACGGTCCACCACTATATCATAAACCAGTCGCATGCAGTCGGGCAACGTTGCACAGCGCATCAACGATGGCAGCGTGTCCGGCTCGCACATCAACTACGCTCACCTGCACCTCCACTTGAGCGCTCATGCGCGGTGTACCGTTGGCGTCTGGGGATGCCGGCCTTATGTACACTCGGGCTGGCAAGGGGCTTGACGGCCTTGGGTTGTAGCGCCCAATCCCTCCTCGATCGTCGAGGGCTTCTGAGCGTGCGTCGCCCGCCGCATGCCCGGGGGCGTCAGCTTCTGTAGCTGCCATCTCGCGTAGTTTGTGCGTGGAAATTTCGATACGTTTGATGCCTATTTGCTGGTGTGTGCCTACTGCTGCATAACGTGCGAGCAGCTTGAGCCTGGGTGTTTTTCACGCACAGATCACGAGTGCGCGAGTTCATGAGCGTTCACTGCATAATGTAAGAGGATGCGAGCGCACCCAGGTCAGAAGTGATGTAAAAATCGCGCGCCATCACACATTGTCTCCGCCGGCGCTGCGCGCGGTCTTGGGACGTTTGTCTCACAGCCCTCAGTGGCATGCGCACAACAAAGTTTCGCACACGGCTGCGCATGGACTACGCAGTGCGTGAGTAGATGCTTCTGCTGGATCACAACTCTGTCCTTTTGGTGAACATTTTGCTAGTGACTGACGGCTCACCCTTTGTTAATTTGTGCGTGGTGGTCCCATGAACCTGGTGTCTTGATGTCAGCAACAGCTGCAATCAAATGGAGGTTGTCGTTGTTGTGTGTGTCTTTTGTGTCGTTGTGTTGTTGCTGACTGCATACGTGCGTGCATGTCTGTGTATGCGTGCGTGTGTGCGTGCGTGCGTGCGTGCGTGCGTGCGTGCGTGCGTGCGTGCGTGCGTGCGTGTGTGTGTGTGTGTGTGTGTGTGTGTGTGCGCGTGCGTGTGTGTGTGTGTGTGCGTGTGCGTGTGTGTTGTGTACCTAGGTAGACGTAGGGTCAAAACCAGGGCTGGCTTAGGTGTTTAAACGCGTATGTGGCCGTACTCGCATACATGCATGTGTCTACACGTATGCCCTGTGCTGAGGCCCAATACACGCCTTAAAATGCATATGCGCGGACACTCCCTGGCCGTGGCTGCTGCCGCCATACACCCCAGGTGTTTCTGCATGGTGGCCGTGTTACCATGCATGTTATTTTCAAGTCTTACTAACACTGATTGTTGATTTCACAAATACTGTCACAGGCCTTTTGTAAAAGCTTCTAACATTAGCGTACTGCGATATCAATTACATACATGGGTGACGTGAGGGCTCCATGCGGGCGGTGCCGCTCTGTGTGGATGCTGGGCAGCGGCAAGGCAGCCGACTGCCGGCGCCCCCCCCCCCTTGCAAGGGAGCGGGAGCGCACGCTGTGGACCGAACAAACCCAAGCGCTGACTGCGCTGGGCGTAGCGGCAAGGATTTGCTGGCAAGCAAAGTTGCAGGCGGCAAGCATGTTAGAACTCACACAAGGCGCAGGATGGCACTCTCTCACAGTGCCGTTTGCCCACGAACGGTAATTGATTTTGTCGGGGTGAGGCGCGCACAGTTCCCGTGAAAACCACTCATGGCGCGCCGCAAGCGTCGTCGCGCTTTTGGCCGTCAGCAGCCAGGGCAGCTGCCGGGCAGCGGCGCGCCGTAACGGCAGTACATTAGCCAGATCATCATCAGGAGGATGCTCGCAACCATGAGGATATTGGTGGGATGTTTGCAGGCGCAGAAGTGCTGCAAAATGACAAGGGGGTAACGATGACGGCGCAGGACGTGCTTGCCATTGTGGCAGGTAGAGCTGCTGCTTGGCATGCCTTGCATGAGGCAGTGAGCGCAACAGTGTGCTGATTGTGGGACAATGACTTCACCAAGACCTGCTCTGTGCTGGCCATCGCGCGGGCTGAAAAGCCTATCTTCATCAGAGGCTTGGCTTCAAGCGCCCTACACCCGCACAACTTGCTGTCAGGCGCGCACAGGACTGATGGAGCGCCGAGCTGCAGCCTGCAGACCTGCTGCGGCAGGAGAAATGCAGGTCTGGAGATAATGGGTGGTATTTGCTACGGTGCCTGATGCAGATCTCGCGGCGTTTGCGAGGGGTTGGTCTAGGTCATTAATCTCGTTGGATGCCTGGCTGGCGGCGTGAGCCGCGATCAAACGCACCTGTTGCAGTGTGGGGGGAAAGCAGCAACAGAGGTGTTCTGGGGTGTAGCCCGCATGGCAGAGGCGTTTTGGAGACTGATATGAACATCCGTGACTGCTGGCATGAGTGGATCATACACACGGAACACAGTTATTGGAACATGGGCTGCTGATGGAGCCACCTGCGACCTGCCAGCAGTGCACATTACGAGTGTTGCGTTTGTTACTGTTGGCACTTAGAGCTGTGGCTGGAGATTTATGAGCTGCCAGTGGCTTTTCACAAGCTGCAATTGAGGCATTCCTGACTTATGCGCACGCATGAGCAAGTGCAGTGCGAATGCATGTGGCTGCTGTGCAACCCTGGTGGCCAGCCTGGTGCGCATGCTCGTGAGTAAACGCGTGTCCTGTGATAGCAAGGAGCGGCAAGAACCTAATCCATGGGTGCGTGGAAAGTGACCACCGCTCTGCCCTCCTGATCCAAGCCCGGTGCGCCGGAACGGACACCAGGCGAGCCACCCTGACCCACCCCTTGGTGCATCCCACCTCCCGGCCCCTTCCCTCTCTATTGTACACGCAGGATTGCCGCCCCCAGGTGTGTTAAGGGGTCAGATTCATAACTATTCATTCATGTTTCTGTGAAGCGCTAGCACCAGCACACGGCCTCAACTTTGGGCTTGCCCTCCATCAGTAAGCAAGCGCGCCTCCACAAGGCAAGGGTCGTTTGCGCAAGAGACGCGGCTCACGCTTCGAACCTGCGGCACGCGCACAGATGCATCTCTTTCTACACACGCGATGTGCATCTGTTCAATAGAAATTGGGTCCTTCGCTGTGCACGATGCTCTACTGATCGGACAGCCGGGGCAGTGACAGATCATGGCTGATGGAGAGGTGGCCCCAGAGGCCCTCGATCAGCATGTGGAGGCGGTTCCAGAGGAGCCACCGCCTCCCCCGCCCCCCTGGAGCCGCTGCTGGAGGTGCCCACCC